TGGAGCCTAGGTCACTGTGACAGGGCTGCCCGCACCGAGAAGTTCAGAATCATTGGTGAATACGGTACCTGCTGCAGCACCTCCTGCACAAGATGACGAAGAAAATCGAAATCAGACGGTCAAGTGTAGCTGCTCTGCGTGTCCCAAGACCAAAGTAAAGAGATGGGGCACAGGTACCCTGCCCTGCTTCCTACAGGAAAGCGATGGGTGGTAGGCATGACTACCATACCACCTCTGCTGTCCCAAGACCAAAGTAAAGAGATGGGGCACAGGTACCCTGCCCTGCTTCCTACAGGAAAGCCATAGGTGGTAGGCATGACTACCATACCACCTCTGCTGTCACAGTCAAGTTTGCCACCAGAAAACCAAAGGAACTGAAAGACCAGCAGAAGCACTACCATCCCTAGTCTACAGTAAATGGCTCAACTTAATTCCGCCAACAAAAAGGAAGTCAGTAAGAACAATAAATTTGATGGTGTAGAGCTAGAGGTAACAAAGACTGTCTTTGATGATTGAACAAAGTCATGTCTCTAGCTGTGATTTATTTTACCCACCCCCCTTTTATTGCATGTGCTATGTATGTCTAACATTTATTTCAGAGTCTGTTAAGAATTGGTGTGCCGCCGGGCGGTGGTGGCGCACGCCTTTAGTCCCAGCACTCGGGAGGCAGAGCCAGGTGGATCTCTGTGAGTTCAAGGTCAGCCTGGTCTACCAAGTGAGTCCCAGGAAAGGCGCAAAACTACACAGAGAAACCCTGTCTCACAAAAAACAAAAGAAAAAAAGAAAAAAGAAAAAAGAAAAAAAGAATTGGTGTGCCATAAAAAAAAAAATTTACAAAGCTTATTCTAAGGTGAGACTCTGAGAAAGAAAAATTGCATTGGGTATCCATCTAAAAATGCTTCAAGAAGAAAAGGTCAGTCATCTTCATGGAATTGTAAAATGGAGCCCTGAGAGTCACTACATCGACCTTGAATCAATACTGACACTGTAATCGGCTATGTTCAAATGCATCTGCAAGAAAGAACACAGGTTCTGCCAGCGGTTCCACAACTGGCCACCTAACAAGCACTGACCTTCCCGAGCCTGGGTCTCCAAGTCTGTAAAGTGAACTATCTATCCCCAAGGTTTTCTAAGGATGCCTAAATAAGCCCACTGCGTCTCGCCCACTGCCACTAATTCATTCATGAAAGTGATTTTTCTTTATGCTCCCACTCTAAGCCAGAAACCAACCAGGCCACAAAGCAGACAGACAAAACTCTCCCCTTACCTGCTCTGGTTTATTTACTTGACCTTGTCCTAGGTACCACACTGGTGGTGAATAAAAAAAAAAAAAGCCCTAAAATGTGATGAAAACAGCCAATTCAATTTTTAAAGATCAAATAAGGGCAATCATACAGTGTGGGAATTTAGAGAAACAGAAAGTCCCATTAAAGAAAATCACTGTATGGGGTCCAAGGACGGAAAGGGGAAGAAAGGCTTCCCAGAAAAGAGCATTTTAAGTGAGCCTTGACAGCTGCTCAGAATCCTGATAGGAGAGAGCTATAGACTTTGAAAAGCCAATGCTGTGAAAGGAGAGAGGTTGGAAATGCTTTGGTAACTCTGAGCAGTTCCATACAGCTGGAGTCTCCAGCACATAGTAGGCAGTGATGGGCCATGAAAACGGTGATAGACATGTGGACCAGAGTGAAGTTGGAAGTGTTGGGGTGAAGGGCTTATGCTTAGTTTGGAAGAAATGGGAAACTGTGAAAGATATTTGAGAAGAGTGTGCTCTGGTACAAAAACTGAGATATTCTCACAAGAAGTGTGAGAGAGACAATAGAATGGGACAAAAGGAAGGGACTCTCCCAGGAAAATGGAGTAAAGAGCTTCAGAATAGTCTCCCAATGACGACCGACGGAAGGGACCACTTCCCAAGGCATCTCTGAGGGCACCTTTGTGACGAGAACGGCACATGTGTCTTCTGGCAAGAACAGTATCTCTGCTCGCTGTGAGCCACATCTTCCTTTCCCTGAGTGATCCTGTGAGTGAGTTCTGCACTGTCTGCTTGCCTGTCCTCTGCCTATTACCATTACTACATCCTTACAATGCCGCCAATATCTCGTTCACACACCCATGTCCTCAGCTCACTCATATTGACCATGACCAAATGAGGCTGGCAAAACCACACATGCTCAACTGGGCATTGGGACTACCATACCCCCTTACAGCCTGGATCAAGTGAAGCAAGTACCTTTTTAGTTATCATGATCTCAGACTCCCTAGCCTTTTGAACTGTAAGAAGAGAATTTCTGAGATTTTCTTTAAACAAGCTATCCAGTTTATACTAATGTGTTACGGCAACCTAAAAGACGAAGACAGAGGTAGATTTAAAACGCTATAAAAATGATCCTCAATGAAAAGTAGACCCAGGGCTGGAGAATTAGCTCAGTGGTTAAGAGTGCTTGTTGCCCTTGCAGAGGACCAGGGTTCAATTCCCAGTACCCACGTGGTGGCTCACGACTGTCTGTAACTCCAGTCCCAGGGGATCTGAGGGCCTCTTCTGGCCCCAGAGAAACACATGGTGCACAGGCAGGCATGCAGGTAAAACACTCGTTCACATGAAATAAATAAATCCAAAGAAAGCAGACATACATGGGCAGTTCATAAAGAAAAATAAAAACTGGAATGTCTACGTCTGGGGATGTGTACAGACATCCCAATCACTTCCAACAATTTCAGCATTGTAACAAATCTCCATGTCTGCACAGAAACTGGGGAGACCAAATCAAAACAGGTGATATGGAAGGATGTCCTTGACAGGAAAAAATGTAAGCATAACAGTTGCAAAATGGTATCTGACTTCTAGAATTAAAAAAAAAAAACTATACAAAAACTAATTTATTGATGAGAAATAATCCAAATGTCAGTGGTTCTTATGTTAGTCAGAGAGATTATAGGTGATAATGCCACAGATTTGATTTGGTGGCATTAATTTGTGCATTCTAGATTAGTAAATATATCTTAGTTGCCAGGAAAAACACAATGGCTTTCTAGGTAAAAACAACGTGTCTGAGAATGTAGAACATGTAAGTGGTATCATCTCAGCTCTCTTTTTCAGAGTTCCCACAATCCCTCTTATTATCGACAGCACATGCTGAGTATCATCGTTTCTGAGCTAGACTGGGTGCTGAATGTGTAGGGACCCAGGAAAGCTACTCCGGGCTGTATCTATTAACATATGTGGTGATAAAGTCCAGCACCTGGTTCCCGGGGTGGTAAACTCTCCTTGCTTAAGCACTGATGACCTGTTATGTGTGTCCTCATTGATGCATTTTTCAGGGTCCCCCAATGATGTTGCTTGTGATATTAAAAAAAAAAAAAAAAAAGGCGCCGGGTGGTGGCGGCGTATGCCTTTAATCCCAGCACTCGGGAGGCAGGGGCAGGCGGATCTCTGTGAGTTCGAGGCCATCCTGGTCTACAGAGTGAGTTCCAGGACAGGCTCCAAAGCTACACAGAGAAACCGTGTCTGGAAAAACCAAAAATAGAAAAGTCATGAGGCGGGAGGGTTCACCTTAATTAAACAGTAAGTCAAACATGGAATGAAGGCTTTAATGTGTGAACATTGTTTTAAATTCTTTAAAAATTGATACTAAAATGTATGACTGTCCAATAGATGAGTTACCAATCTTATAATAGGTTATAGCCAAATCCCTAGCATTTTCCCTCCATTTATTGAAAATAAATAACAGCCTATCGGTTATTTAGTCACTAACGATGAGAAGCATTCACTCTTTGTTACAGGAAGGTCAAACATTCCCCACATCCTGTTTCAGATTGCCGAACTTTCCATTTTTCCTCCACACAACAGATGATGGTTGAAAGTTCTTCTCCTTTCTCTATTAACTTCTTTCAACAATTTGATCTCATTCTGATAATTACAAGCTATTAAGATAGAGGTCTATAAAACACGTCTCAATGAGAATAGAAATCTGTAAGAATTCCTTATTGTCTCTGTAGGTCGATTGCAGTTGGGGCTTATGAAGAACACCGAACGAACCATTCTGCTACAAAGCTCACGTGCCTCATTTTTACTCTTAGGAAAGCAAGAGGGTTTGGTGGTTTTTGTTTGTTTGTTTGTTTTGTTGTTGTTGTTTTTGAATGCATTTTTCACAGAAGCATGGCCTAGCAGTTTAAATGTGGATACAGTAACACTGATCAGAAGGAGTCCCTATACTCCATGGAGAACCTTTCAAGGTTGACTGGAGTTAGAGGTTTGCTCTAAGCCTGTATTGTCTTCTTTGCCTCGAAACGAAGCCAGGAGGAATTTTAGTAGTCCTATCCTAAATACCCGAATGAGAGTACTTTGAATATATTCCTTCTAAAAGCACATAGTCCCAAACCAGCCTTCTGATTTCCCAGGTTGGAGGAATGCATTGACTACCCCACATCTTTCCCTACTGACATGGTGAAATAAAACACGTTTTACGATGTTAGATGAAGCGTGCCCCCCCCCCAAAAAAAACAACTAAGTTCTTCAAAGTTGGAGTATGCAGGAAAGAATGCGGACATCTTTTCTTATTTAATTATTTTCAGCATTCCGATCAAAACAGTTTCACAAAAGTTCCAACACAAACACACAAATACCTTTTCCTCCCTAGGGATCAACCCTCGGTTTATTCACTGGGAGAAAGTACCAACATTTTCATTACCAGGGGGAGGGGTGCAGACAGTCCAAGCTGCTTTAAACTACAGGATTTCGAAACAGAATGACTGAACGTGTGCGTGCCTGTGTGAAAGGCGCAAGTGTGTGCACGGTCCATCTTTTACAAAAGACCTGTTTTCAAAAAAAAAAAAGGGTAACGTCCTGTAGAAATCAAGTAACTGAACTGGTGTGATCGCTTCTCCATTTTCAAGTCCTGTCCCGGATCAGAAGTGGCAGAAATGCAGTCACTAGCCCGAAGCACAGCTGGGCTGAGAGTGAGCAGAGGCCGGGCGGGGGCGGCTAGCCGCGTCTCTCTTACCTGTCCCTCCCTCGGCGCTCATCACAGCATGGTCACCACGGATCCCAAGGCACCAGAAGAGGACCAAGCGGGGATCCAAAGGGCGGGGTGAGTTATGCTTCCAAGCCAGCCATTTGTCTTTGAGAGGCAGAACAGAACCCACTTCTCAGTTTCCCAACTCCGCGTGCGGGGCGCGGGCGCCTGAAGCCGGCGGAGGAGCCAGCGACTCTCCCTCCTCCAGGCCTCCCGGGCTCCCGGCGGACAGAGCTTCCGTGGAACGCCAATCTCCCGCGGTCCCGCCCCCCTGACGTAAGGGGCGGGGCCTGGCCGCTGCGGCGCTCCCGGCTCCAGCTGTTGGACCCAGCAGAGGCCCCACCCAGCCCAGATGTCCCAGTGACCCAGAGCCGGTCGGTTCCCCCTCTGGGGGTCACCCTCACAGCGGTTTGCAGGCCGTCCAGCGTGCTCTTACATTACTGTGATTTTGTTGAACAATGCGCTCCTTTACCGAGGCTTGAAACACTTCGTGGTTATGTTTTGGAGGGTAAAGACATTAAATCCAAAAGTGTAATGTTAAAGTTGCGTGGCTAGTAATTATTTTATTTAAAAAAACACACACACACACAATTCTGATTTGGGCTTCTTTCTCTTTCCTTTTGACTCCTTTATTCAGGACAACGTGGCTTATCCTCTCATCTGTTTGTTTTAAGCTCACACATTCTTTTTTTCCTTTTTTTTCTATGCTTTTCTTTTCGTTTCTTCAATTTTATTCTCCAAATTTAAAAAAAAAAAAAAGAATCAGTCTGTCTGGTCTCTCAAAACGTTTGCCCAACTGCTTCAAGAAGACAAGAGGGTACGTCGACCATGCTCCAGGGCAGGCCCCACTCCAGGAACAGTCGGAAGGCCCAAACTGGACTGGATTCGAAAACTTAGAGTGTGCTGAGTCAGGAAGAGAGAGAGAAAAGTGTGTGTTTGGGAAGATCAGGGGGAAAAGGGGGAGTAGAATCAAAATATATTATATGAAATTCTCAAAGAATTAATTTAAAAAATCACTTAAGAATAAAAAAAAGAAGGTGAAAGGTCATTTAAAGAAACAGAACATTCAAAATAACTCAAAGTAAGACCCAAAACCCAGCTGCCAGGTATTCCACTTCAACAACGTAAGATGCGGATAAGAACTCCTCCGCTCTGCTGTTTTGTGCGCCTGGCTCTGGTCTCTCAAGTGTTTGCACATCAAATGCACATCGAGAGAGAACGAATTGAAAATGCTAGTTAGTGCCTCCCAGTCGTGTGCTCACCAGGACAAACCAAGGGAGCTGGCTGGGAAGCTTGACACATATCCCAAACCAAGAGATGCCAAACGAGTTTTTGCACCCTCCCGGGAGGTGCCAGGCAGGGAAGAAGAAGGTCTGGGTGTGGCTTCCTGTGGAGCCTCGTTCTGCAGGCAAGGGCAAATCTCCAGGGCTTAGTCAACCCCTGGCGTCTGAGACTCCTGGCCCTGCTAAGACTTCTGCAGTCACATCTCTATTTCTGACAGGATGGCTGAGTTCCTTTGTCGTCCTCGTCACTGTTTGTCTGTTTTGTTTTGTTTAAGTTCTTGTTAGCTAACTGTCTGGTAACATTGAAAGCCTCAGCTTCGCCTCCCTGCCCTTCCTGCCACGAGCAGGGATATAACAGGGAGGCCTTTTTTTTTCTCTTTTCTTTTCTTTTTCTTTTTTTGGAAGGTGCATACCAGGACAGCTCAGGCATACTGCGGACATTGGCAGCTAGTTTGGAAACGCTTAAGTGAGTGGTTCCAACTAGCTACACAGCGGAGTTGGATGCCAAAACCCCACCCAGGCCAACTGACCCAGAATCCCTGGGGGTGGGGCTCCTGCTGTTCTTTCTGTCCGACTTCTGTCAGAGCCCTCCTCGCATTCTAACTAGCCTCAAAGTTTGAGAATCACCCCTACGATCTGAATCAATATCTCAGAGGAAAATCCACATTCCATTCATAAGTTCAAAGATGCAGTTGCTGAGTAATGGGAAACACTGTAATATAACTTATCCTTATATATTCTTTATATGTTTGCATATTTCAATATGAGTATGGAAAATACACTGCAAAATCCACGTCAGAACTGATCAGTCGGGGAAAGAGAGAAGTGACAGGAGATCACGAGCTTTTCGTTTGTGTCTGTGTCATGTGACCCCCAACCGAAGGAACTGGTTTCCCTTCTGTGGTTTATATATGTGAAACCAAAAATATAAACTTTATACTTACAAATAAAGGCTGTTGTAAATGGCCACTGTGAAGGTGGATTTTCAGTTGTTTGATAGGTTGGGTTGTGCTTTATGATTTGGATTGGAGGGGGTTTGATTGCTGTTATTATTTCTTAAATGCTTTTCTGAGCATTGGTATCTTTTTACCTGATTTTCATTTTTTATACAATATGAAAAATTCTTAACTTTTTAGTTATTTAAACGTGCTAACCAATACAGTTATTACTGAAATAATGTTTACTTTATTATGGTTTCAATAACATATCCCATTTTAGTGTGCTTCTCATGAAGACTTGAAAAACTAGTGTTCACAGTATATAATTCAGATGAAAGAAAATTCCATCTTTCCCTGATGGGAAATTATTTAAACTCTCAGTAGTAGTAGCTTGACAATAAATTGTTGATGGGAAATACACGGTATGAGAGTTTGTTATCTAAGTCTGACTTGAATCTAAATCTTAGTTATGTGAGCGTGGAGCATCATCAGTAAACGGATTTAGTCAGTGGTTTTGGTTATATAAAGTCAGGTAGCCAAAGTGCTTATCGTTAAGTAAAGACATAAAAGCTGCTTGAAATGACAGCTATCAATTCACTGGTTCTGTTATCTCATATACCCCTATACATGTTCAAGAATTAATATAGCATCAGTAGACTAAGAATTATCAGAAAACATTTTTTATAAAACTATAAACAAACATGTTTCTTCTCATGGTTAATAAGATACTTCTTGTCCATGTTTGTGTGAAAAAGAAGTGATTATTATTATTTTTTGTCTACCACTTTAAGATAAACATGTTTTTATTTCCTTCAGAGTGTTTTACACAGACTAGAGCAGCAGAAGGGCTGATTTTCCATATTCATGATGAAACACTTCTCCTCTGTACTTGTTGAGAGGGCATGACTCATGCACAGATGGGAACAATTCCCAACTCCAGGTCTAAGTAACTTTCAGAAGTGGGGGAGGAAGAGCTCTGGTTTCATTAAGCCATAAATAGGCTTGTTTATTAAATATGTTATATTTCCTAATTATGTTCATTAAGCCACCATGGGATTTTTTCATTTTTCACCTTTGCTGTTTTCCGAGTGCTCGTGGACTACTCTCTTGTGTTATAAATAGTTCTCAGCAGTCTATCACTCATTTAATATTCTTTGCAGTCCTGTGAGGTCATTCTTCACTCATAGATGAGCCGTCCAAGGCAGGAGCAACAGCAAACTGCCCATACAGTGAGCAGGAGCCATAGAATCATGACTTTCTCTCTCACAGTTTCAGTGTGTAGATGTAGAACTCTCAGACTTGACCTGAATCATTTTGGGAGTTCGGTAGAGCATCTCCATTGTGCAAAACCCAAAGACAGAAAATGGAGCCTTTCATAACAGGATCAGAACTAAGTGGCACCATTAAAACTATTTTAAGATACTACTTCATCCCAGTCAGAATGACTATCATCAAGAAATCTGAACATGGGAGCTGGAGAGACTCAGTTGTTAAGAGCACTGACTGCTCTTTCAGAGGACCTGGGTTCAATTCCCAGCACCCACATGGCAGCTAACAACTGTCTGTAACTCCAAGAGCTGACAATCTCACACAGACATACATGCAGGCAAAACACCAATGCACACAAAATAAAAATAAACTATTAAAAAAAAAAGAAATCTGAACACAAATGTAGAAGTGCCTGTGAAGAAAAAGGAACTCTTGATCATTGTTGGTGGGGGCAAGAATTGACACAACCACTGGAAATCAGTTTGGATATTTCTCAAAAATTTTAAAATAGACCTAGCATATGTCCCAGCTATTTCTCTGCTGAATATATACCCAGAGAACCCCATACCCTATCACAGAGATATTTTCACACACCTATGTAAAATGATGCATTACTCATTATGGCAAAGAATTGAAATCAACATAGTTGTCCATCAATAGATGAAAGGGTAATGAAAATTGCATCTCTCTCTCTCTCTCTCTCTCTCTCTCTCTCTCTCTCTCTCTCTCTCTCTCTCTGTGTGTGTGTGTGTGTGTGTGTGTGTGTGTGTGTGTGTGTGTGTGAAAGCTAGTCAGCTCTAGATAAAAAAATGGAATAACAAAATTTTCTGGAAAATGTATGGATTTAGGATGTATAATATTACGCAAGACTACATAAGAAAAAATGCATGTTCTTGCTCATATGTTATATCTAACCAATAATATATGCATGCATGTAAACAAGTGTATGCTTAGGTATATTATAACATGTAGAAAAAAGAACAAGACAAGCTAAATATTAGGGGATGAAAAGGGGTAAATGCAGATAATAATGAGTTATGAAAGAGGATATAAAGATAATTGTTTGGGAGAGTACATAAAGTTATGAGAAAGAATATAAAGACAATTATAGCTCTAACTTTGTCATGGATTTTTCACTTTGTATGGTAGATAAGTGAATATATATATATATATATATATATATATATATATATATATGACAGTTAAAGTGTAAAATTCAATGTGAATATCCACAGCTTTCATTCTGAATGGCTATTTTATCTGTACTAGTATAGAAGTTCATTGAGCCGTATAGTTTTTGAGTCTGGTTAAGTTTGATGTGTGATTTCTTTTCATGCACAACATTTTAATAATAAAATTTAATATTTAAAAAATAAATCTTCAGAATAGACAGAATTATCCACAAATTTTGCCTGTACGTGTGTATTGGTTGTGTACTATTTCACTAAGACTCACAATTACTGCCAATCAGTTTTCTATTTCCTTGGGTTACTTTTACATTCCTTTGCTACCCACAAAGAAGAAACAGATTTGACTTCATGCCAACTCACCTTCCACAATACTTGCTATAACAGTGACCCTGTGGGTATCAGGCAGCTAGTCCTTGCTGGATATCAATAACAGGTGAAAGTACTGGCAGATGTTGCACCTCCAGGTTCCAGATAAGCCCATCAACTCTTATGTGATCTTCCATGATCAAGAAAAATACTGTCCACAGGACTAGATTAGAATTCCTTGTATTGAACATGATCTTTTAGACCA